CAACATTTGGCTCCGAAAGTGCGACGATCGCGGTGAAAACGGCGCCTCGGAGCTTCTTCTCTTTTGCCGATCGTTCAGCTTCTTCCTCGGCCGCTTTGCTAAGAATCGCCGCTTCCTGTTGCCTCATCGTACACTTCCTAAAATAAGTTGAACTAAACTTCAATAATCTCAATAGTATGCCAAAGAAACACTTCATTAGGCGTTATTTGAAGAAAGACAAGAACAGGGACGGCTCCCCTCAGTGCTATGTTTTATGCTAAGCTTAACCCCCCCTATACCATAGGAGCGCCTCCTCCCGACCAACCGGGCCTGTTTTCAAGTAGATTGCAGCTTCCACGTTAACCCTGGAAGCGCAGGTAGTAGGATGGGCAAGTGCAGGAGAAAGTAATGAAGGCTGGTAGTGAGAGTGAGATAAGACGTTTCGATCCATTAAGTCATATATCCAATTCCTACCTCCACGCAAGCCTTTTCGGTCAATAACCGGCCTCTTCCGCTTCTTTTACAACATTTGAGAGTAAGGTCATCTTGGCTAAGACATTACAGCAATAGCGATTTGGCAATGCCAAGAGTAGCTACAGAAGAAGAGGATTTTGTGCTAGCTGCTAAGGTCAGTAATTCAGAGCCCGGAGTCCATGGCCCTTCAAGGGCCACGAAATGGTCATCAAAAGGCCGCAAAAAAAGGCAAACAAAGGAAAAAGTGAAATGAATTGGTTATAAATTAAAGGCAAACACATTACAACCTTCTAATCCTTTTCAAATGCCCAAAATTCATATTTTTAAAAAAATTCTTCCTGTTCCTATGTCCTTCTCTCTTCCTACGTTCCATTCCCTCTTCTTCTTCACATCTCTGAACACTGCAACCGTCATACTGACGAGGTCCAGTCGCATTGTTGAGCTAAGACGTATATGACTTCATGGACCGAAACATCTTAACTCTCTCTTACTTATTTTTCCTGTACCAGCAATATTTCTACCTCTTGCATTACATAGTTCGTTCTATTCCTGCCTTCTTTTCTACGTTTTTCATATTACTTTCATGCTACAATCAT